ATTATAATATTACTTTTATTAAAAGTTAATATTAAAATCAAAAAGGAAAATTTGAATAATAAAATGGATCATTTATTAAATGTCTTAAATGTTCCAAATTTTCAACTCATATTGAAATTGTTGGTCGAACAAAATTCTTGCTGGCTGGTAAGAATCTAACTAGATTGTAATATTGTGTACTTCAATACGTTTTTTTAATATATGTGTTTTCTCCTTTTTTTTTTTATTATTTTGCATACTTTCTTCCTTCAGAATAATAAATTCCATATTAAGTTCCCAGTATGATCGTCAAATGCATTTAACATATTATTGCAAAATAATATTATTATCAATATACAATTAAATATAAATAGTTTTTTTTTTCATAAATGAATAAATATAAATTTTTAAATTTCTTGGCAATAATACGTTCTTTTAAATCAAAAGTTAGCACAAGACTTCATTTTATTTTCGTAAGCGATAAGATGTCGTTATTGTTATTATTATTGTTTTTGCTATTAGTGCTATTATTATTCCTTAATTTCAATTGCGTTATTAATCTTACAAATACCGTCATTATTGTTAATATTATTACCTTCATTAATTAATATCATTTTCAATCTTTTTAATAGTATATGCATTGTATTCTAATCCATTGAGATTTGGTTATAATTGTCCTTTTGCATTATCTATTATTCAACTGTCTTGAAAAGGTCCTTCATGAATTAGTTGTCGTTTTTAGTATATGCAATTAAATGTATTCAAAAGAAGTAAAAAACAAGTCAAAATTACCAATAAATCACAATTTATGTTTAATCTCAAATCGCTATTTTAACGTACGTTTCTTCCGCTTTCTTCTTTACCTCGACTGATCTACTATCATTAAATGATATGCGTTTAATATTCTTGATATTGCTTATCATTTTAGTGTCAGATGTAGTGATTTATGACAAATTCCACTGGATTTCAATTTCAAGTAAAACTGATATAAAATTTTGAATATCTTTCTATTATTTGGTTAACTTTGTGGCTGATCAGATCCGTTCCAACCCAAATATTCCTAATTATTATTGACATTAACCCTTCGTATGAGGTTGTGCTATTACGATATTATTATTTATAGATCATAAATTAATGTTTAATATATTTTAATGATATTGCAATTCTAAGGTAAGAAGGAAATTTTTTAAATTTCACTGCTGAAATCAATTGAATTTTTTTGGTAATGTATTATGAATTTTGAAAGCTAAAGAACAAATTTGAACGCTTTCTTAAATTCCTCAAAACATTCAATAAATTCTAGATTTATGAAATTTTATCTTACATATACCGAGAAGGCATATTGCTGATAAACAAAACGAATTCTAAAAAATTTTCATATTACTATTTTATTTAAATATAGCAACTATTTCTTGATTTTATCAATTATTATGAATGAAAACTTGCAAATTTTTGTTCGTAATATTGTTAAACAAAAAGAGTTAGCGTTCGGCACTTCATATCGTATTCCAACAAAAATATGCCTCTGCTGATGAGTTAAAGGTAAGAGCTATTCTGAGAATTAAATATTTTGTTTTGATGTTTCTGTCTTGAAGATTAACTTTGTTTTGTTTTATTTTTGTCCCAATAGTTCACAGAAATGTAAAATTTAGATACAATTTTTTGAAATTTATTCTTCAATTTGACTGTTATGAAAGTGGACAAAAATGTTGAATTTTAATTAAAAAATTTCCTTCTTTATTCAATTTTTAATCGGTTCTTAAATTATTGCCTAATTTGATTCGCAAAATTTTACTTTCTTCTTTTCCATCGTTTCTTCTAAAATACACTGCTTATCGTTACTGATTGAAACAAACAAACAAAAAAAAAAAAACAAAAAAGTTTTCAACATACTGAAATGTACATTATGATATGTATTGAAAGAAACAACTGATGTAATGTGAGAGTTGATAGAGTAAAATGACTTAACGTTTAAGCAATGTGAATGCTTTTCGGTTCTGTACAACGTATAATTTGTGTGTGTGTGTGTGTTTCCGATCTTAATGAATATGATATTACTGGATGGTTGAAAAAAAAAGAACAATCATTAAAACGGAAAAAATTTCGTCAGATTAAGCATATTTAAAAGTGATTAATATTTGACATTAATCATTTAAATGATGCAATTTTCTATTGCCACTAGTAATGCTTGATTAAAGGATGAATTCTTTTGATTGCATAGTTCCTATGTGATTGATGATGATTTAATCCCTGATTACACTTTAATTAATTTTTTGTTAAATTTGAAATTAATTAAATTAATATAGGCGATTAAAATACTTTTCCATGATGGGCAGACAGTATTTAAAAAAAAAAAAATGAAGCATGATTGGAAATATTCCGAAAAGTTAAGAAGATATCGGCAACTAAGGCTGGATAATCGGAACTTCCAAAGCCTCATCAATAGACAAACTAAATAAAGTGATCTGAACACTACAATTCTTACTCTTTCTAATTCGCCACCTATACAGATCAAGAGGTGCTCATGTAGCTGGGTCGTCAGTTATTTTAAAATCCTAAATTTACTGAAAAATTTTTAATAACTTCCGCCAAAAAAAGAGGCCAGATCAATTGAGTTTGTTTTAAGGTTAAAGTTTAAAAAAAAAAACTTTGTATTTTCATTCGTCCAAAATAGAACGATCGGTGGTGTAACGCAATGAAGATTAGATGTTTGTTTTTTTTTTTCATACTTAAAATTATTTAAAATTTACAAGATTAACCTAACAATGAAAATTTCTAAAGATATCAATAAACTGTAAAATTTCTCGCATCGGTTCCAAAAGAAGAAATAAGTTTGAATGAAGGTAAAAAATATTTTATTTTTCAAATATAGTTGAATAAAAATATATTTATTCAAGAGAGCGTTAAATTGGAAATCGTAAAAAAAATGAATTAGAATTTATCTCAAATGTGAATTCCAAGAAAACTATTATGAAATTTAACACTACCTATATAAAATGGGTTAAAAGTAGGTTTTTTTTTTTTTCTAATTCATGACTTTTTAATTCTGGCGAATAAAATATTCAAATCTATGACAAGTTTAGCAGTACTTACAGTAAATGTAAATAAATATATCGTGTCATCAACTACATAACGAGTACGTAAGTTATACTGATATGCCGGATAGTTTCAGCATCGAGTTTGCTGCCATATTCGATAGCTGGACAAATTCTTGTTTTAGGATCTTCTTTCAAATATTTTTGCTGCCATCCTCATTCGTAATTTTAAGTGTACAGTTTTCTATTTTTTATTGTAGAGAAAAGAGCTGAAATTGCAACATTCTGGGATTTAAATTACAATATCGGTTCAAGTAATGATTAGATGTCATATTTATTACTCAAATCACAAAAAAGAAAGAGTTAAAAAATGAATTCATTGATCACACATAAATGAACAATCAGAAGAGAAAATAAAAAGTTATTTGAAAATGGTTATTTAAAAAAGACACAAACAATATTTGAAAAAGTAGTGATATTATCATTGATTTGAATTTGTTTGGAAAAAATAAATTTAACTCTGCTTGCTTTACTTTAATAATGATAAAAGCCGAGACGTATTGAAGTTTTAGTTAATTCTATAATTCCACTAAGAATTATCTTGAAAAAAGATTCATCAATTTATATAACACGGCAAATACTGGTGAATTAATTAAGATATATGATGATTCGAATACATTTGCGCTTGAAAAGAAAATGAATTATAGTATGAATTATGGATGGCATTTTGTTTCCATTCTGAAGCAAAAATTTATAAAATTTAAGTAGAGAAAGGATCAAAGATCAAAGCCGTACCGAAATTTCATATCCTAAGAATTAGATATTTTCCAGGAAAATGTATAATTTTATTTTTAACAAAAATGAATTCATTTAACTTCCAAATTTATGCATTACATACAGCTGCTGAGCTGAAAAAATTTCACACGGATACTTTTCAAAGTGCTGAATAAGTAGCGTGTTATTGGTGTGAGTAGCGGAATTTGATTCTGCCCAGTAAGATGAGAGTTGAGTAACAAATGGAAGTAGGCCAAAGGTCAGTCGAGTGTAGAAATGTATTTGGCGGAAATTGAGAGTAGCAAAATAATGTTTATTTGTTTAATGTTTCTTTATTTCTATGCTATTAGAAATTGAGAAATTTTTCGATGGAAATGATATTTGGTTTATGTTAAGTGATTTCAGAAACTTTTTTCTTTTTGAGTATTTTCTTGGAAGTACTAAGGAAAATCAAAAAAAAAAAAATTTTTTTTATGCGTTATGAATGTTGAGCGAATGATTGATTAACTTCTTTATACTGTTCAGATTTAAAGATGCCAGTTTCGTTATTATTTGGAAAAGGTAACGTCAAGTGTCATTTCCGTGACGTTTAATTTGCATTGAAGAGATATTTGATATAATCGATTTTGCTTCTGCGTGCAATTTCTTGCCTTGTTAGTCCGCTTGTGATTTTTCTTCTGGAATAATGATAGTAACTAAATTTCTTGTAATTGTCAAATGGTTAGAGTTTATTTCCAGTAACAGTTTTGGTCCTCATGATAGTTTGTTTTACTGATACAAAATTAGGTTTGACTTCTGATTTTCAAAAAATCTAGTTTAGATCGCGACAAATATTTTTGTCCCATCCATTTTAAATGATTTAAATGTAAGGGTTTGCAATTCGTTTCTAACGGTTTTTTTTTCGCGTTGCACATGGTGCTCATAATTAGTAGGAGGTCTGATGCACTGAAGGACTGAACAAGCATAATATTTTTGGAAAAATTATTTACATATCGATGACTTTGTATATTGCTACTGAATGAAGAAAATAAATTCTAACTTTTGGGACAAGCATTTCTTCTGATTTCAGATATGAGCGTTAGAAGTTTCAGTAACAACTTTAGCACAAAAACCAGTGCTCTTCAAGATTTCATAATGATATTTTCGACAGTGTTGCTACAGGCAACTGCTGCAAGATTATATTTGAAGCAGTCACGTCCCTTTTTTCGGATTGGTTTATGTGCAGTTTCGTTAGGTTAGTTTAACGTACAGTTTTTCATAAAGTAAAACTTGTGTTGTTAGGCTTAAAATTTTATTTCAAGTGGTAGTTCCGTGGTCGAGTTCCTTATTAATTTTTACAAATAGAAAAAATGAATGAATTGACTTCTCCAGTACCCTTTAATGCACATTGTACGTTTATCAAAAATATATATGTTGTATCTTCCATCAAACGATGGTAATGGTAATAGGTAGTATCTCGTGATTTTTGATGTGTGTTCTCTTTTTTAGGCGGAATTTTATCTCTTTCTCAAGCTGTTTTTGAATTTTTCTCGCTAACCGGTAATGATTTGGTTCGATTTGAATTGTGGCGGCTCTTTACACATTTTACTGTCGAGACCAATGTTTTTGTTTTCATTTTACTGGTATGGAATCTTCATCAAGTGGCATCATTAATTGAGCCAAACTGGGGCATGTTCGAAACCATCAAATATTTAGGCATTGTTCAGGTGTAATTTTTGTACTACATTATTTTAAAGCGTGCTTACTTCTTATTTTTAATATAAACATTTTAAATTTCCGAGTTTAACGAATTGGCACTTAACTTGGGCATCCAAAGATAACAAGAACATAATATGCTAACGTTTACTGAGTAAAAATTTGTTGATTTATATTAAGGTTTCAAACTGACATATACAAATTTTTTTCATTAAATTTTTCTTTTAAATGAAAGACATAATACATTAGACACTGTGTTTATTTCATATCTTGCAATATCGCAGTATTTATTTGATTATCCTGTACTTCTTGAGGATAGTTGGTCATCCGGCGTTCTTTGGGCATTTTGTGTACTGTTATTTGAGTAAAATGGTATGAATGTCAAACCCAAATATTGGGATATTGATGGCTAAACAGTTTTATATTTACTAAGTAATGTTAAAATGGCTGAATTTAACTGAGTGGAAGTAAACTGAAATGCATTAGAACGCATTGTTTTGTTCTTTACGAGAATTCTACTGTTTCATTTGAAGTTATGGATGGAAGTCTTATCCTTTTCATAGATTCCACTTTCTAGGTTGTATCATCACTTTTAATCGCCATTATGGCGTTACTAACATTTGTTATCACAGTAAATGACGCATTTTTCTTCCGGACCCATATATTTGGTTTGCCATCAGCTTGTTCCGCTGTTTGTGTTGCCATGAAACAGGTAAAGAGTTTATCTCTTTTCAAAATTTGAAAGTCTTTACAAGGTCATTATTTCTTTGATTTGTTATATCCCATGCAGAAACATTTGTTTTATCCAAAATATTGAGTGTTTAATAATCAGCCGTTTTAAGCGCTGTTATTCATTTTTTTCCTAATTTTTGGTTTGTCATTTTATAAAAGAGTTGATGGTCATTTTCCGTTCATGTAGGTATTATTTCAGTACCTGCCAGATTCGATACTTTTGACGACACCGATGGGACGTATCAAAAATACTCATCTTCCTTCTTGTATTATTGCCGGTGCGTCATTTTTAGTTGGATTTGGCCTTCTTCGCTGGGTTTCATTACTGCAGATTCTATCTGGTGTTCAAATAAGCTGGATTTATTTGCGGTTTTTTCAACCGCACGATGATGGTGGGCCGAGAGGGGATCCCAGCGAACATTTTGCGTGGGCAACGTATGCCGTATGATGTTTTTTCAGCTATGTTATGAATTATCTATATTACTTTCAATAAGTTTTGCAAGTTTGCCTTTACGAACGATAACTTCTTCGAAATCTTGTCCAGCTCTGTGGGTACAATGCTAAAGGCTAACAAACGAGCTGAAGAAATCTATGAACTTTATACGGCATTACCAAAATCATTTTTTTTCGATTTAAATCTTAACTAAATAACTTGCAACCCTACTATGGACAATGCTGCATACGAGTTTTGGAATAAGGGTGAAATGCTGATTGTCAGACAATTCTATTCCACCCACTTATTAGGTTTTTGGTACTTCGAATTACTTGTTCACAATCGCTCAGCATGAAATTCTGTCACCTGTTCTAACTTGAATTATCCATTTTTCTTCCCATATAACGCATTCATTTTATATGCGATAAGATGAATAGACCAATTTTCACATAAGCAAAAGTGTCGTTTCTCATCATGTAAAGTTGCGAAAATTTTTTGAAGATTGGTATTTCAAAATTTATAAAAAAGTGTATAAAATTGCGGAACAAGCAAGTTCTTTTTTCATTTGATGTCAACTATTTTCGTTTTATTTTTGGACAGTTTCAGTCTTTTCCCTTCGAAGTTACAACCATTAATGAGAGTACTGTCATCAGCAATTTATACTTGCTTGATACAAGCACGCCTATGTAAACCAATGGCAAGGCATATCGATTTAATGCAGCTTGATTCCGTAAATGTCATTCTTCCTGGTTTACATACGAGAGATACGGAAAGAAGGCGGTAAGACTCTTTGTACATTTTTCAAAGGCTGTCATCACTATTTGTTTTCACCAATACGCTAATATTTTTGCTAAATCTTTTACGTCCTTTTTTTTTGTTCGATTTCAGCTTTTGTTTAATGTTATCGAAGCATCATTCTTAACTTATTTTAATGATAGAAAACTTTTAAGGCAGAAAGCGCTCCGCGATTTGACCGAGCGTTTAAATCGAGCACAGCAAACGGAAACAGGTTTGTGGCCAGAAATGGAAGACGTTGAAGAAGGTATAACGATTCAAGATACTTCTACAGTACAACAGCAGAAAGAGTCAGGATCACAAGATTCAGTTAGTATTAAATTTTAGAAAGTAAATCGTGCATAAATTCATTAATCCTTATAATCCAGACGAGTGAAGATGATGGTTAATAGAAGCAGATGCGCACCCATGTTCTGCTGCTTAGTGTAAAAGACGCATTACCTGGAATAACTAGTTAATATCGATAGTTCTCATTAAAGTTCTGGCTAATTGAACTCTCAATATCAAAATTTTGTTTGAGAGGGGAGGTCAAGGTGAGAGGTGCGCTGTGCTCGGGAATAGAATAGAATATTTTTAGCGTTATTTCATAAATTCCTGGATTATCTTTGCAAATCACTCACAGCAAAACATCAGTTCTCATGAACCGTAGCACTCAAATACTCCTTTTCACTTCAATAAATTTTTAATATTAACCTCTTTATAGGTACCTTCAACTGAAGAAATTAATGTCGATAAGGAAAAAGGAGATATATAAAATGCATACCTCTGAGCGAGACGGTTCAGTTATCAACAAATGTTCAGTTCTTTTTGGAATTAAAATTAAATAAAACATTTTGCAGTGCTAACCGATTATGTTGTTTTGTAATAGTAATTTTTGGAGAATATAAGTCCTTTGATTAGAAGAATGTTAGAAATGGTCTGGAGGTGGAGGCCTAACTAAACGAATAGGATGATTTTTAAACTTCAGGTTGTGGACTCTCTCACCAAAATAGTTCATTTTTGTAATGTTCATAATTTACTGCTCTACATTTACAAATTTCCTGTGGAGATATATAAAATGCATGCTAAGAAGACTTATCGAATTCTTCATCAGTTGCGGTTTCTGGATATTTTATTGCTCTCCTAATGATGATGATATAGTAAATGTATACTAATGTGTGATAGACGCAGGATAATAAATGATGTGATTGCTGCCATTTAGGGTGTGAAAGTGATATGGAACTGGATATGGACCATGTGATCTCTATAAATACCTGGTTAATTTCATGCCCAATGAAATTGAGTGTTGATGTCATATTCATCGAGACTAGCTTCATTTTTGTTATTTCCTCATTCTTTCATTTTTGGGTCTACGTAGATCCACTTTACTACCATTAAAATAGACGTACATTACGATCTATGTGTGAATGCGCTTCACAAATCATAAGATATGCACATATTTGTTAAGTGTTTTAAGTTGAATATTTAATACTGTTTCAGAACGCTAATGCTTCAAACGACTATTCGCGTAATTTTTTGGATCATGCTTATTGCAACTAAACATTCACCTTTTCAATCTGTTATTACTCATTTTTAAGTATCTTTCCTGAGATGCGCGGCCTGCCATGAATTCTCTTTATAGAGAAACAAAAAGCCAGACCAAGATTTGTGGAGTAGTCGGGGGTCCACCTCTTTGAAAGCGATTTTTCCTGAAAAATGTGACTGAAGTTTTGGAAGACTCTTCTGCAGCAAAGTATTTTGCCACAATTTTTTTCTGCTTCGGAGTTCGGGTCATTTTGCACAGTCTACATCAGGGATTTCTGTTGCAGAAATCGGTCTTGAGTACTTTTCTTGAAAAATTGTGATAGTGGTAACGATTTGGTAAAGGACAATTTTTTTCTGACCTAATCTCGTGCTCTTATTCAAAGTACATTCCCTTGAAACCTCGTGTTCAAAATTACTGGACTTCACATCACTTATTACCATTTCAACACTACGAAACTTCGTGATTTGTGGTGCTTTACTATCAAAATATTCGTGTCAGTTTATATTCTAAGTACAACAGTCACGCTGATGTATATATATATGATAGATGTATATGCATATGTACATAATATCCCAATCCTCTGCTACTGTGATTTCAGGTACCGTCGATCAGTGCACTGGGCATCCACACCCATCCCAATTCTCGGCCACTTGACCATTTACAGATACCACACGATCTTCCAATAGGTCTACAGATTCCGTCGATCCA